CCTAATAAATGTCCTTACAGAAAATCTAACTGCTCATTTTAAATCCTTACTTTGACTTTTAATACTTAACTACAACAAATATCACATACTTTAAGACTTTTACTCAAGTAATATTCCTAAACTTTAACTTTTACCAAAGTAATTTTTTTGTTAAGATACTGTACTTTTACTCAAGTATCACTTTGTGGTACTTTATACAACACTGATAAAAACAAGCAAAAATGAAATAAAACTTTAATGACTTTCTACTTCTTACCTTTTTTTTAAATGCAAGGAGCAGAAAGTACAGATAATTGTGTGAAAAAGGAGTAAAAGTAAAAAGTAGACTGAAAAATAATTACTCAAGTAAAGTACATATACCCAGAAATTATACATAAGTACAGTAACAAAGTATTTGTACTTAGTTACTTTACAACTCTGGATGTTTCAGAAGGGAGCGACGTTGGATCCGTCAGAGTTCAGCGGGATAAACGACGATGAAATGATGGCGGCGGTGTTGGAGATGAGCCGACAGGAGGCGGGGCTCTCTGCCCCGCCTCCTCTGGAGGACCGGCCAACCAGCAGCCCCGACACCGGGTTTGGGGACTCGGACGTCCAGGACCCGGACAGTCACACGGATCTGCTGGACACAGAGAAGCAACCTGCAGGTAACAAACATCAGGTGTTCAGATCAGAGAAGTGTTGAAGAACTCAGCAGAYGACAGTTTTTGTCATTTGTTCATGTTGTGGATTTGTGTAGATGCTCTGGATTCCCTGGACCTGACCATGGATGAGAACAAGGAGAACCAGACCCCGGAGGGAGTGCAGCAGCAGGGGGAGTTGGACTGGGTCCAGCAGTACAATCTGGACCAAGAGCGGGAGGAGCAGGAGCTCCAGCAGGCCTTGGCCCAGAGCCTCCAGGAACACGTAAGAACGTCTGCTCAGCTGCTTCCTCAGACCTCGGCAGAAAAAACTTCTCAGCACTTGTTACATTAAAATCTACGCTGATGGAATAAAAAGGTCAGATTTGAGTAAAGTCTGTCGTTCTTACCTCACAGGAAGCCCAAGAGATGAGAGAAGACGATGATCTGAAGAGAGCCACTGAGCTCAGCTTGCAAGGTGTGCYAGGTTTTCTGTGATGAGCACAAATCGTCTGCTGAAGTGTCAGACACATTAAGTTTTTCTGCAGACTTTCAGTTTGAAAATGCTCCAGCAGTGACGGCTTCCTCCTGTCACCCAACAGAGTTCAACAACTCTCTGCCCGAGCTGCTCTGCTCGGACGACGACTCTGGAAACGAGGARGTTCTGGACATGGAGTACACTGAAGCAGAGGCAGAGAGTCTGAAGAGAAACGCTGAGGTACCAAACATCCTGTGGTGTTCCCCAAGGCTCAATACTTGGGCCTTTATTATTTTCTGTTTATATGTTACCACTTGGTCAGGTTATTTATAAATTTAACATTTTGTTCKATTTCTATGCAGATGATTCCCAGATTTATTTGGCTATTAACCCATCTAACCTCTCTACTGTCAGTAAACTTCTTAAAGTCTAACTGTAGGACTGATCAAAAAGGAAAGTCTTCAGTCTAATCTTAAAGTAGACAGAGAATGGAAAACAGAGGTGATGATGTTTGGACCAAAGACCAAGAGGGATCTTATAAGTCCGTCTCTTCTTAATATTGGTTTTAACTGCACTCAAGGAGCCAGAAATCATGGGGTGACCTTTGATTCTCATCTAAACATTTTAAAAACATCACTAAAACAGCCCTTTTTCAAGAAAGGCTTCCTCATTTTCTTTTATAACTTTACTTAAGACTTACTTTTATTATAAGGCTTTTAATATATGATAATGTTTCTGTTTTTGGTTCTATTGTAATTGATTTATTTTGTTTCATGTTGTCTTTTATGGTGTATAAGTTGTTTTATGTAAAGCACTTTAAACACAAATAAAGTTATTGTTGGTCCTCTTATAGATGGCTAATAAATAGCTTATAGATTGGTTATTAGTTCATCTGTAAACACTTCAAAAATCATTAAGTGTTTATTATTCATTAATTAAAGATGGGGAAGAGACAAAATTGTCTTATTTCTTGCCAAATAGTGAGCCACACTGTTCATGTATATATTACATCTAAAGATGCTTATTAAACATTTCAGACTTGGTTTGTAAGCACAATAATTTATTGAAAACACATATTTTACATATAATATTGCACTGTATTACCATATTATACATGTCCACTGTAATCAAAGGGAGCCTTATTGTAAAGTGTAAAACAATATTTATTAATATATCAGAGCCTTATATATAGTGTACTGTTTTACACTTTACAATAAGGCTCCTTTATGGCATTTGTACAAGTTTGAGTCATTAATAAATATTATACATATTGTCTTACATTTTACAGTAAGTTTTTAATATGTATAATTCAGTAATATAGTACAACATTATTTTTCAAATATATGTTTCCATAAATAATTGTCCTTACAAACCTAGTAATATGTACACAAACAGATTTGGCTCAGTATTTGGCAAGAAACCGGACAGTTTTATCTTTCCTGTTTTTAATTAATCCTTATTTATTAATGATTTATAAAGTGTTTACAGATGAAMCAATAACCTATTTGTAAGGCATCTATAAGGGGAGCCGTGTTGTTTTTAACACCTGCCCGTCATTAAAACAAACACACAACTGATGGTTGCTTGTAACTCCTGTTCTGAGCCTCCGTGTTTAATTARTGAATAATTTTAAAGACTGAACGTTAGTTTTATGATTACAAACCTGTACCTGCGGTCCTCAGAGCGGAGACCTGGCCAACTCTTACAGACTCATCAGTGTGGTCAGTCACATCGGGAGCAGCTCCTCCTCAGGTGAGTCTGGTTCTGCTGGACTGAACGGTACCGTCGCGCCCGTGGAGCTAACACACGTGTCACCTCCCCGACAGGTCATTACATCAGCGACGTGTTCGACATGAAAAAACAGTCGTGGCTGACCTACAACGACCTGGACGTGTCGCGCACGCAGGAAGCAGCCGTGCAGCGAGACCGCGACCGCAGCGGATACATCTTCTTCTACATGCACAGGTGTGCGTTCGTTTAACGATCCAACGATTCTCAGGACACTTTTGATCTTCGACGTTTGTTCTGTGCAGAACTGAGTTGTTCTTGTGTCCTCAGAGACGTGTTCGAGCAGCTGTCTGACATGGAGAGATCAGGATCCAGCAGCTCCTCGGAGGCAGGAAGGAACGTCCTGCAGCCCCTCTGAGCCCCCCACTCACAACCCTCTTGGATCCAGTTCTGGTCCTGGGTAGATGAATTTATCCTGTGAACTGTCTGTTCTGCTGGTTGTTGTTTTTTTTGACGGCTCTTCTTCAACTCTCTAAGGTGGTTAAAGACTCCAGTTTTGCCTCCACGTTTCCAAGACCTGACTCTTTTTTTTTTTCAATATATAAATATATATAAAGTTTTATTTGTTTTGTAAATACATTTTTTTTAATTTACAACTTTAAAACAAACTTTCTGCTACAAATAAAAAAGGAAACACCAGAAAAGGCTGGTGTTGTGCAGACCTGTTAGTTCTCGTCTGAATAATGAAASCTGTCGGAGTAAAAGCTGTTTTAGAGCTAGAGGCTTGTTGTGTTAACGGCTACTTTTGGTGCAATATTTAGGTTGTGGCACAAACAAAGAGTTCTGATCAGTTTCTCTTACTGTGAGTAATTTCCCAGTGGATTTTTTGTGCTCAGTTTAAATTGTGTGTGCATTTTGTTATTATTATTATTATTTTCATATTTTAAGATCTGATGGAAGATGTTTGAGTTGCAGAACTTTTGTTGGGGTTTTGACCTTGTGCCTCCTAAGAACACTTTTATAAATACATCGTGGACAAGCTTTACTTTGAAGGGTCTCATTGTTTAAGTCAGACGTTAAATATATATCTATATATATACAAAGCCAACAGATTTTATAGTATTTGCAGAAGAGGGTGGATTTGTTTAAATTAGCCACAAAGTAAATCCTAAATATCACCAGAAAAACTATTTATGTAAGAGGATTTATGTTCCCAGTGTTCACCATCAGACACATCCAGTTAAAAACAGAGAAAAGGTGAGTTTTCTTGCTTTGGTTCCAGTTCTGTCACCTTTTTATGTTACTGTAAAAATGAAATCCCACTGACACCATCCTTTATTCCTCATTGAGATAATTTAATCAGATTGACATAATTTAGCATAAATAACTATTTAAATGACAGGCCTGTGTGGGTGGATATTAAAGAGGTGCGCACTTTTTATTAGCTGACGTCTACGGCGGTTAAGTTACTGATAAACCATTTGTTTTTAAAGCTGCTCTGTCCCGAGTGCTGTGTAAAGAGGGTCTGTGGGTTTGTTGCTGTGTGCGTGAACAGCTTTTTCTACCCTTCATACACAACTGATTCTTCCTATAGCAGATTTTAATAAAAATTGAAGTGAAAGAACAAACGTTTGGACCTTTTTAAATGTCTTAAATTTACAATCAAACAGCTCRGTTTCTCCTCAGGTGATTTACAATAAATCCTTCAAGTATTTCAGCAGATTTGAACAATAAAACAGCATTTTTGTGTGTTTTTTTTACATGTCATAAATCKCATCTGTGGTTGTAGCGTTGAGTCGTGAGCTTGGCAGGTCCCAGCCGGCGTCACGTCTGACTGTAGCGCTTCATGAGTGGCTCCAGGTGCTGGCCCGTGAGTCGGCCGAACTCGCTAAGGATGTAGCTCTCCCTCTGCAGCATCTGCAGGACAAAGTGCACCGATTTATGATTTCTGTCTGGATGAACCGGGCAAGTTGTAAATACAGATTTTTGTACTCAAGATTGATCTGCAAGTTTAAAACAATGGGCCTCYTGCAAGAACATGTTCGTATTCTTCTCCTAAATTTCTCTTACTTTTGTTCGTACAAAGGGTTCGTACGAACATGTCACGTCAGATTCAACAA